TGATGCAAATGATCTGATCTCTTCCATCTCTACATATGTGTTGGAGATTGAAGGACGGAGACACTGACAGACACACTGTAGACCGGACAGAGACACTTTGCTTTTACGATGATTGGACCTGATTATTTAGTAGCTTTTCTGATCCTGTCCATTGCCTGGGATGGTAAGAACAGCAACTTCTTTGCTGACGGACCTCCTGAGAAAGATAATGTCTATCTACTACTCTCAGTCAGTCTGCGGCCAGTTCACCATCTCCAGAGACAACAGCAAACAGCAGGTGCATCTGCCGATTCATCAGCTGTACCAAATCCAACAGCATTTGTCTTTTACAGATCTGATTTCCTGATATAAAAAAACACGTACATAAGAAACAACGCTGTATCCCTTTGTGAAATTGTCAACATTGTCCAGATATGAATTACAGAAACACTACTTGTAAATATTTATGCCACTAAACAGTAAACAGTAAAATGTGACAGATAAGACATAATAGCCGGGCGGCACAGTGGATAAGAGGCGAGCACTGTCCCCTCGAACAAGTAACTAGGGCCATTCTATGTTCAACACGTTAACCAGGTTCCTGTATGGGACTTGTCCTGCAGCGGATGTTAAATGGAGACTCGACCACGATGTCGGACCCAGTGAGAATGATCATCTCATCTCCAATTTGACTTCAATTTGGTTTGGCGTAGCCAGATCTCCAGATCTTGTTTGCATGTCTATAAACCAATCACTGTCGTCTTGGGCTGAACTAAGACCAAGATGCAGTTTCAAAGTCCCTCCAAATGAGTGTCAGGTGAAGCTTGTCGTGGTTGAACATTTGCACGTGGTCTGGTCCAGTTTTAAAATCAACAGCACGTTAGTTATAGTTTAAGTCGGAGAGACGGAGGTCTGTGAGCGATTTGTAGCGATTTTTTATTAAAACATGTGGAAACATCATCTGAGAAACGAGAAAATGTAATGGGTGCAACACAGACAATAGCTAACACAAAGAAAACAACGAAATAATGAAAGGTCAAAGACAGACATGAGCATCAGTGAGCTGTTTCAATGGTCGAGAGACCACTGGGAGAAGTGGGCTGCGGCATCTACACACCAGGGCGTAACGTCCCTCAAGCAGACAGCAGCCAGTCAGGAACACTGGTGGTGCAGCAGAAACAGCACAGTCTGACTGTCTGCTTCTTCAGGGCCACACAATCAGACAGTGTCACGGCTGATTCTGTTCGTTATATCAACAGTTGTTCCCCAGAATCTGTTACTTCACCTTTAATGATGGTCTGGTAAAAAGAGGCTACAGCAAACTCACTTCACTTACTGTCTCACTGAATGAAAATTGGAGGTGTCACATAGTCAAATAGAAAGAGACAGTAGCTTCAACTTGTAATACTTCTGACCAAGAGACTGTGCATTGATACCATTTAATTTCATCTATTTACAGTAATATATACTGTGTCAATATTCTCAATTGCATGAGGTTGACATGTGACTCTTTCAGTCCTAAAATCCTAAAACTGTCTATTAATTAGGTAACAAACCTGAAGGCAAAGTACAATCCTGTCTCCTCCCTGTGAGGAGGAGTCAATGCAAACCCCGATGTCCTCATCCTCTTCATATGTGTCCGCTCAGAGGACGACAGAGAACAGTGGACACACACTTTAACACGATGGACTCTCGGAGAGTGCTGCTGCTGGAAATCGTGAACATTTCACTATTTGAGTTACCATATTAACACGTTTGATGTTTTCTTTTTCTTCTCAACAGGTGTTGATGGTCAGACTCTGACACAATCTGAACCAGTGGTTAAAAGGCCTGAGGAATCACAAACACTGGCCTGTGCAGCCTCTGGGTTCACATTCAGCACCTTCAAGATGCACTGGGTCAGACAGGCTCCTGGAGCAGCTCTGGAGTGGGTCACTTACATCAGTCCTGACAGTGCCCACACCCTTTACTCTCAGTCAGTCCGAGACTGGTTCACCATCTCCAGAGACAACAGAAAAGAGCAGCATAACCTGCAGATGAACGGACTGAAAACAGAAGATTCTGCTGTTTATTATTGTGTTCGAGAGCCACAGTAACTGGAGCTGGTTCACCAGATGTACAAAATCCTACAGTGCTTACAGTTATAACTTCAGTTGTTAATTTCTAAAAAATGTTCCATATATTCCAGAATATCAATCCACAATCAGACATTGACAAAGTGAGGAATCATGAAAACCACACACAAACACACACGACAACTCACCATCACAGTACAACAAAAATATTACCACATATAGGTGCATATCTTGAGACAGAATTTCATTTTTGTTTGTAGTGCTGTTCTTCTGTTTTCTAAAGTATTGCAGTGCACCTCAGGGCTGCTGCAGACCAGACCATAATTATATTAATTGTTTTAGGTTTTAAAAGCAAGGCTTTCACATAACACCACATTACTCCAAGTTTAATTACATATACCTGCTGCAGGGCTTCAAACTATCTTTATAGCTTTTTATGATTCCAAATCAAGTTGATGAACCAGACGAGGACAAGCAGGCAAGTTTCATACCCATGCTGGAAATTATTTAATTTTGTTTAACTGATATCTGGGGCCAACCTTCAAAAATGTTTAAATTCTGATGGTAATGTGGAGTGTCCAGTTTTTATTTTCGAGTCTTATCGACCACATTCATACAGCGCTTCTATATACGCTGTCGACAGAGCCGCCAGGAGGAGGCAGCAGGGTTATTATAGTTTACGAAAACTAAGACTAAAACTAAAACTAGCAATGAAAAAATTATTTAGTTAACTGAAATCAAAATAAAAACGACAATTACAAAAAAACGGAAACTAAATAAAAACTACAATGAACAATGCAAAACTAACTAAAACTGAACTGAATTGCAGATAAATTCAGCTTCGTTGTCGTTTCATTTTCTCCCTCGATTACTGCCTGTCCTGCAGGTGATGGTTAAAGAATGAAATTAAAGGACTTGAGAAACCATATTTGGTGTCACACATTGTTTCATCCTTTTTCAGCTTCTAAAAGTCAAGGCTTTCTCTTAATACCTGGAAAAACTAAAACTAAGACTAAAACTAAATAAAAACTAAACTGAAACTAGTCGTTCCTCAAAATAAAAACCAAAAACGACAAAATCACTTGTTGGACTAACTAAAACTAAACTGAAATAAAAAAGCAAACTGAAAAACTAAATAAAAATAAAAACTAAGGTAAATTTCAAAACTATAATAACCTTGGGAGGCAACCATGTCCTCCCTCTTTATACACTGTGTATGGAAAAGAGCAGGGTCAAAGAAGATGCACAAAACTTACTTATTCCTTATATAATAATATTATATATTATTTGAAGTAGTAAAAAGAATCAAAAAAATTTGAGAGATAAATTACATTAAATATAAAGTCGAGGGTTGTTTTGTCATATCTGTAGGTCTAGAAAAAAAAGAGATCTAGCTTTTTTATTGTTGTGCTCATGTGGCAGCAATGAGCTGATTACACTCAGAAATGTATTTGCTGAGCAGAGGAGCGAAAGTAAAAGAAATGGAATTTGAAATGTTTCCATGTTGATGTAGTTTTCATTTCCACTGCAGCAACTACAAAAGCATGAGCCAACCTTATTGTAGAAAGGGTTATTTCATGTGACAAATCTAACAGCTCAGAGTCGAGCATGAATGAAGAGATTCTCGTTATAGCAAAACTTCACTATTTTACATGTTCCTCTGCTGTTGTGGTTTATGAAAAAATATCAGTTTCTAGTTCCCTCTCAGACCTGTAGAGGGAGGTCTATGCAAACTTTTCCCTCATAAAAACACTTGCAACTGTCAGAACACAAGTCCTGACTAATATACAACTTTAATCACCAGTCAAAGAACTACAGTGTCTATCAGAGAATGGAAAACATTGATACACACAATGGGAAAATTCATATGTTACAGCAGCAGGAAGGTCAAAATGAGGTAGAATAAATTAAAATCAAAAAATGCTGAGTATATACATTATATATACCTTTTAACTGTAGTGGTTTGTATGAAATGCTATAAGTAAAGTGCAGTGGCACAGGATGATTGTACAAACAAGTAAAATCTGTTTAGTGCATAGGAAAAAACATTTGTACGTTAGAAAATTGTACATGAACACAAATGCAACAAACTTTTATTTTCTGGTTATTTGATTTATATCGATATCAACTGATATTAAAAGAATATCGTGATAAAAAATGTTTCCTTATCGCCCAGCTCTACTTACAGCTGTTAATTTTAGCTCCTAATTTTTCTGTTCTGAGTGCCTATGACTGTATCCTCACCCTCACCCTGTCAATAAATGTGCAATTTTAATCAAATACAATTTCTAACTCTCTGTGTCTTTATGCACAAAAAAAACATTATGATATGATAAACAAGCAATAAAAACAAGTAAAATGAGTACATAGAAAAAATCCTTTCAGTTGATCAATACATTTTCATCATGGTGAGGAGGAGTCAATGCAAATCATGATCTCTTCCATCTGTATTTATCTTTCACGGCAAACTGAAGACAAACCAAACCACCAACCAGACGTTCAACACACGTCCATGATGATTTTAACTAAATGCGCAACATTTCTGCTGCTGTCAGCCATTTCTGGTGAATTCCACACCTCCGCACACTTCTTTTTTAGCGTCCAGGCTCCTGTTTGGCTCCGTCCTTTAAACAAACCTATTTTTCTCCTCAGGTGTGTTCAGTCAGACTCTGACTGAATCTGAACCGGCGGTAAAGCGGCACGGAGAATCCCACAAACTGACCTGTACATATGCAGGGATATCTGACGACACTGCTGCTATCAGCTGGATCAGACAAGCTGAAGGAAAAGGCCTGGAGTGGGTTGCCCAAATTTCTGCTCCAAAAGGAGACAAGAAATATTATTCAGCATTTGTCCAGAATCGATTTACAATTTCCAGAAACAACGACATGGACCAGGTGTATCTGCACATGAGCAGCCTGATGACCGAAGACTCTGCTGTTTATTATTGTGCTCGAAGGCCACAGTGTCACAGGAAGCCACAGAGCTGTGCACAAAGCAGTGTGGATGTCTCTGTGTCACTCACTGAGTGTTTAAATATCTTCCTCTTCCAACACTGAAAATCCTTGAAGCTTTCCCCTCATGCAACATGTCCAGAACATTTTTGATTTACGAAAGGAATACTGCTTTTTTAAACTAATACAAGGGTTTATGATTGTACAGTTTTATTCAACATTATCTAATGAAGAAAAGATGGTTACTGGGTCAATATCACCAAATAAAGAAAAATAAAACGGACAGTTGGTCTTAGATAACTGAATTGTTATAGGCCTCTATATGCCACAAATGTATATCCCCTACTTTCCTCCAGTTCCTGTCTGTCGTCACTGTGTCTTACAAATAAAAGAATACAAGAATACAAAAAATAACGAGTAAAATTATGTAATTAAGTATAATTTCGTTGATTGGGATTTCAGTTGTTTTGAATCTTACCCACTGCTGACGACATGGGTCCCATTGCAGGAAACAGTGTTTGGTTTTTCTGGTATTTAGGGAACTGATTTTTGTAAATGATCAGCTAAATCAGAACTAAAAGTGAACTATAAATGTGTATTAGGTGGTGCAGCTTGATCGAATTTGAGCGCACTGTGCCTTGGCGGTGGTTAATTGTTTGTTCCTGAATGCATCTAATATTTTATTTTATTTGCAAAGCTTGAAAAACAGATGCCTGCGAGATAAAATTCAACTGATGCTACAATTAATGAATAATTCTGTGTAGTTTAATTTGCATCGACTTATGATTTAAAGGATTCTAATGTCCGTCTGCAGATCTGCTAGAGGGACATTTTGGTTCACATCTGGATCAGCCCTAAACAAGACTTATTTGTAGTCGCAGAGTGCTTGACACACAGGTCAGTCTAAGCTATCAATCATGACATATAACCGTGTTTATATAACATCAAACTTAATGGATGTTAACACTTGAATATACATCAGTGTGATCTACTGTAAATGACAGAATTATTATGACGTGTACTTTATATTTTGGTCCATGTCCCATCCACTAACTCATTGAAAGTGGCTTTGGATAAAGTGTCAACTAAATGATATGTAATGTAATGTGATGTAAAAAAGAGGCGATACTTGCGATCAATACTTCAACCCCTAGGTGGCGATTAAGACGCTTTGGCTTCACTTTGGGGAAGGTTTCCTGTCGTCTATCTTCAGATACAGTCTATCAACATGACAGAAATTATCTTTAACTGCAGTGACATAGTTTAAATAGTCTACATGTGGGACATCCCAACCCGTGAACAACAAGTCCTTATAACTGTGTTTTCAGATGTGGTCATGAGCAGTGTGCAGTGGAGACAAGATATTTAGAGGTGATATGACTGTTAAGCATTTAGGACCAGATCATACAAGGGGGCCTACATCAAAAGCATTTACAATCTGCTTGATGTTCGACATAGTGCAGCAGCAGTTCTGCCTCCGGGGCTGATTCTGCAAATGGAGATGCGTGCATAACATTACCGTGTTTGTGCTGCCATCTCGAGGTTCCTTTGTGCACTGTCCCCACTGTGTGAAGAGCCAGTGCATCAATGCCTTTCTTCACCGGTTCAATTTGGAGATAATATTTCAAAACAGCTTTGTGTCAGTGGTGGGAAGGATCGATAAAAGCACTAAAATAAAAATACACAAATAAATTCAATTACTTTTTTTTTTTTTAAGTAACAATAACATTACAAAGCTCCAACCTAATACTGACCCAAAATGATGTGGAAGCAGATGGCAATGATTTTGGCTGCACCACATATAACATATTACCAGCAGCTAAATGTATATGAGCCTCTTTTCTAAAGAGTCCACATGTCATAACAAAGTAGTGGATCAGTTAACATCAAATTTAATGACCAAACACTCACTACTGTAATTCAATGTCTCTTTCCTTTATAAAGACCTTTCAGTGTTCAGAGAATAGTTTGGAGGAGTGAAGTGAGGTTTTGGGAAGAGCTTGTGTCACTGTGGTTCTATATACAGTAGCGGGAGCTGGGTACACACTGTGATACACACCATAACAAAAAACCCTGCTGTGAAAACACATCCGTATTTCTGCTGTAAATCATAAAGCGAGTAACACTCTCAGTAAATGCCCGATGAGTGAGATGATCAGGTATTTATCAAAGCTTGTATTTGTATTATTAAATCAAATTTCCTCCAGTAAAAAGAAGGTTGTGCCATCATTATTATAGTTAACACAAGTAAACATGGGCTWACTTTGTAATGAAATGCAATCAATTATGGATATGTACTAGGGCTGATCATGAAATATGTCATTATTGTTTTTTTTATCGTTCAAAGACTGATTTCTGCTCCTTTGTGAAGGTTGTGGTTTTAAACTCAGAGCAGAGAATGAAACACTTGATAAACAGCAAAACATTCTACCAATCTGAGGTAGATCATTGATGTTTTACCTTCTCACAATGCTTATATTGATATAAATTGAATCATTGTTATATTGATGGAAATCATACTGCCATATTTAGTGATATTGTTTTATCTCCCAGTCCTTATATGTTGAAGTTGAATAAGTTTGTGTTTTGTGTGTTATTCCACTGAAAGCAGCATTTGTTGCATTTTTACTGTGATAATAAAATTCTAATACAGGGATGACAAACTTTGAGGTCATCGAATAAAATGAGACCATAACATATGTGTCATAGTCTCTACGTGAGCATGTAGCACTGTGTATGGGTTTTTGTAGAGGGTGGCATCACTGTGTACTACAGTGGCCACAGTGATGCATCCTATTACAAAAACTTCCTTCCTCTGAGAGACAAAATGCTGCGTATGGAGCTGATACAGAAAACAAATACGTTAACAGACCTATAGAGTATGTGTCACATAAAACACGTCTTGGCAAGATGAAAGATTGACAGTAATGTGTTCTCACATAAAGGTGTGTATGAGGTCATCACAAAAAATTAAGTTTTAAAAATGTGATTTAAAATAAATAAATTAACTACAGTGCATAGCACATACCCCATACCCCATAATGTAATGCTTTTTTTCTTCGTCCATGTTCTTTCCTTCTATGAAGTTTCATGGAAATCTGTTCAGTATTTTCTGTGTTGTCCTGCCTACATATAAACAAACAAGCCAACAGGGATGAAAACATAACCTCCTTGGCAGAGTTAACAAAAGTAAAATAGTGATCAAGATTCCATATTTTCAATACTGAAGTAAGATGCATGCAACAGTACATATACTGGTCGTGCACCATCAGGCAGAGGTTTTTGTATGAGTAAATACAGCTGTGTACTATGGGGTAGCCACAGTGATATAATGCAATACAAAAACTTGTCTTGAACTTAACTGAGGCACATAGGCACTGTTCTCAAGAAAGAAGGAAAACAATAACATTTTCCATATTTATTAGACATAAGGGCTGTCACAGAATATTCTACATGTGTAATATATAAATTAAGAAGACGTTTGATTGAGAAAATCCATATGAGAGGAGTCACTTTCATTGATGGAAAATGATATGCAGATTAAGCTCTTACAAGTGGATAATTCAACAACCACCATGTGGTAATTATGGCATAAAGTTCACAACCACAGTTGGCTGCAAAGAGTCATTTTCGCTCCATAATGGTAAACTGCATTTGCTATCTATATCATCATTTAGTTCTACCCTGAAAACACATAAAAGTCAAGACATCTCAGGAAAAGCTCCACTGTTTCTTCCTCATGATATGACACATTTCATTTATCGAAAAAAGGAATGATTTTTGTCCATGGAATGTTTGGTGTCAAGTTAATTAACCTATGTTTAAAATGTGAGTTAACGGTTCAATCAATGATCCAATAAGTATTTAATTGTAACATTAACTTTTATTTGCTAGCCATATTTCAAATTGTACTGTAAGAAAACAAAAAGGTGTTAGACTCAAAGACTTCAATTAGAAAGACAAATGAAAATGTGTAAATTTTGGACTTGTGGTTAACAACATCCTTACTGGTTGATATTTATGTAATGCAGAGGAAATAATCTTCACCAGAACAGGTGCTTCCGCAGCCAGTTAACAAACTGAAACTTGAAGCCAAAGGCTCAGCAACCAGCACTAAAGGCCAGAGAGCCTACAGTATGTCCTCTTTTCAACAAATTGATTAGGCCAATAAACTCAATAAAAGAAAATATTTGATAAATACCACAACATTGTCTGAACTAGTACCACTTAAGTAATGCTGGGTGGAGTTTTCAGCTAATGCACTCTGAAACTCCTTATTCTGTAAGGTCATAGTGACCTTCACCTTTGACCAACAAATTCTAATCAGTACATCTGTGATTCCACATGAATGTTTGTCCGAAATTTGAAAAGATTCCCTTGTGGTGTTCCTAAGATATCATGTTCACAGGGCAAAAAATATGGCATAGGCCCACCAAAATGGAATCAGTTAATCCTTGAGTCCAAGCCAATGTTTGTACTAAATTTGAAGAAATTCCCTTGAGGCGTTCTTGGGGTATCGCATTTACAAGAATGGGACGGACAGAGAACCCGAAAACATGATGCCTCTGGCTACTGGCTGTTGCTGCCAGAGAAGCATAAAAATACACTGCTCAATAAAATTAACACTTAATCAACACAGCATAACACCAAGTCAGTTTAACTTCGGGATATCACTCTGTCCATTTGGAAGCACGAGTGATTGTGAATCAATTTCACCTGCGTTGGTGTGAAAAAAAAGAAACAACAGGTGCAATTGAGAGACAAAAGCAAGACAACCTCCAAAAAGGGAATAGTTTTACATGTGGTGGCCACAGACAAATCACTCTCTCCTTATCCTTCCTGACTGAGTTTTGTGTTCTGCTAGTGTCCTTGCCACTACTGGTAGCATGAGGCAGTATCAGGTTGTACAGTTATTCCAGCTCCTCCAGGATTGCACATCCAAAGGTTCAGTTGCTAGAGGGTTTGCTATTTGTCTCCCAGCACAGTCTCAAGAGCATGGGGGAGAAACCAGCAGACTAATGGTGTGCATTTTTCTGACCAGTAGGACCTGCTGCTCACAGCCCAAATCCATGCAGCTCGGTTGGCGTACGCCAGATCACAGCAGAATTGGCAGGTCCACCAGTGGTGCCCCATTCTCTTCACAGATGAGAGCAGGTTCACAATAAGCACATGTGCCAGGCGCAAAAGAGTCTGGAGATGCCGTGGTGAACGTTAGGTTGCCTGTAACATCATCCAGCATGACCGGTTTGGCGGTGGGTTAGTGATGGTCTGGGGAAGCATATCCTTGGAGGGTCGCACGGAGCTCCATGTCCTAGCCAATGGTACCCTGACTGCTGTTAGGTACCGGGATGAAATCCTCAGAGTGATTGACAGACCTTGCTCTGGTACAGTGGGCCCTTGGTTCCTCCTGGTGCAGGACAATGCCCAGCCTCATGTGGCCAGAGTGTGTTGACAGTTTCTGGATGAAGAAGGTATTGATGCCATTGAGTGACCCTCACATTCCCCTGACCTAAATCCAAATGTATCAGTGTATCGAATGCCTCCAAGTACCGCCACAGACAGCCCTCAATGGTTTGATGATTTTGGTTTCCATTGACAGTCGTCACGTCATTTTGTTCTCAATAAATTATACAATTCACATCAGTAAAGATTATTAACTTGAATAATTTGTTCATCAAAATTATGACAACATATGCATCTATCACGTTATCACATGAAATGTTTTAAGAAGGCATCATGCTAAAGTTTTACATTATAACCTGATCAAGAGTGTTTTGTTATAACCGAAAATTAATGTTTTTAAATTAATTTATGACAATGTGAACCTGCAGGCACAGAGCTCTATTGTGATTGTAACTTGTATCAGGCTTAATAAAAACAAGATGCAGTTGAATCCAGTGTTGTGTGAACTCCATGCTGCAGGAAGTGGAGCTGACAGGAGGGTCCTTTAAAGAGGAAGTGGTCTCCAACCGTCACAAAAGATCTCAAGGGAAATGGTTAATAAATAGTTCAGTGGGGACTGCTTTGTCAGTGAAACCTGTTTATGTTCCTTGGTTTGAACAACAACAATTAAGTATTTGTGCTAGACGCAGATTGAAATAGATCACTGTGATGACTACTTTGACTACTGGGGACAAGGGACAAAAGTCACAGTAACTTCTGGTGAGTAGGAATCTAATACATTTGGGTGAAAACTATTCCATTTTTCTATACTGTGACTCCTTTTTGTGACTAAAACAGGTCATTCTTTTAAGATTTTAAAGGTTAAGAGTGAGGGTAAGCTCTTCTGGGTCTGAAAATGTATTAGCCCTAATGGGAAATATAACATTTAGATTTAATTGGCATCAAGCTAATTCAATGAGGTAGTTTTTGTATGTTTAATGCATTGGTGTACTGCACTGTGATTATGGTTTCGATTACTGGGGGAAAGGCACAATGGTCACCGTCACCTCAGGTAAGCACATGTTACTTTTTTTAAATGCTCTATTTTGTAGATTTTGATTGAAAAACTTAAGAAACAGTTGTTGTGACATCTGCAGATAATTCATGTATGGGACAGGTGAACTCTATTTATGTTTTGGTGTTAAAATTATGAATTGTTCCATCCTACGAATCCTAATCTGCAAATTGAAATGTGTCAGAGGGTTGATATCATGAAAAAACCTACGATGAAAAGGGAAGATATCAGGGAACAAGTTTATGAATGCAGTGGTTAAGCGGTTGTTGCACTGTGATGCTTTTGACTACTGGGGAAAAGGCACTATGGTCACCGTCACCTCAGGTATGTAATTTTATTATTGAAAGAAATTGTCACCTCTAAAATATTTATAATCATTTTCATGTTGCCTTGACTCGGCCAGCCGACAATATTTAATCCCTTGAAAAAAACAAGTTTTTAACTCTTGGTCTGTCAACTTCAGTTGGATTTTAACTGCATGGCGTTAAAACCAAATTGTTAAGTGGGGTAACGAGTTTGTGAGACGTGTGACTTGATTCCATCTGAAATGTACAACAGGATTAGTTTAAAGCGTTTCAATTGTAATTTCTCATTATGTCAAGTCTCAATTCAAAGGGGAATTGTTTTAACACAGCGTGTAAAGTACAGACTGCAATATTTTCATTGGAAAACAATGATAAACGTTTTGGATCATTTAAACGAGAGTAATTAAACTTTAAGACCACATTTTTGTGCTCGTCATAAGTACATGTTGATTAATGGGCAAGGTACAAAAGGGTACGACAGTAACAGTTTCTTCAGGTAAGAAAATTATTTAATCTGATACATAAATGCTGAAAATAGACAAAACATTTTTTGTAAGAATATGACAATGATTATTTGTTGAGTTTACTCCTTAATTCCTTCAAAATGTAATTTCAAAGTTGTGCATTTAAGATAAATGAATTTTTTTTGATCTAGAGGAAAAACTACATGACCTTGAATAATATTTTCGAGGTGGTTAATTTTAGTGCAACAAAAAACTAAATAATTTTCATTGAAATACATGAAGGAGCACAGAAGGAGGTCACCAGAAGACGTCCACATTAAACATTTTGATTCTTCTGCACTCGATGCTGTACTTTGTTTGGGGACTGACCAGAAGCTTGATTGCTTCTTTCTGTCTTAGTTCAAGCTTGGCTAAGCATTTCTGTCATTTTTCTTTTTTCTTCCATTCTTAGCCACTCCAGCTATACCAACTCTGTTCCCTGTGATGCCATGTGGATCTGGGACTGGACAAACGGTCACTCTTGGCTGCCTCGCCACAGGCTTCACACCCTCCTCACTGACTTTCGCTTGGGACAAAAATGGAGCTGCCTTGACAGATGCTATTCAGTACCCTTCGGTACTGAAAGGCAACTTCTACACAGGAGTCAGTCAAATCCGAGTCCCGCGACAGGAGTGGGACAATAGCCGGCCATTTAAGTGTACTGTGACGCATGAAGCAGGAAGTCCACAAATTACCCTCCAAAAGCCAAGTAAGACCTATGTATAAGTCCTATATATATCTGAAGGAAGTTTTAGTTTGGTAATTGATTTGAATTCTAGCAGGTTTGCATTGGAGAGCTTGGAGGATAATTTAACAGTTTCATTATTAACATTAATTACAGGATACAACAATTGACTAGCAAAAGTTTGTGAATGACAACTGCTAAATAATGTAATCGGTTGGCTGTTGAGTGTAAGCTGAGGCTGCATACTGAGTGAAATACAATTTTATAATTTACTATTCCATAAAAAAATTACATACTAATAATCAAGTAAGTAAAATCTGAAAAGAATCTAACCTTTAACATTAGAAATCAAACAGGGAAGACATATATAAACTTTTGTTAATTTGAATTGTTTTTAATCTACTTGACTAGTAGTACAACGTTAACAGTGAGGTGGAATGAAAGGCTGAAGCTTGCCCTGAAGCTTGCCTGTCTGTTTTCAGCTTCTGGTCTCTATTAATATACTGTATAACCTTTGCTTCTGTCTCAGGACAGAATATCGCATTGTGCTCTTCTTTCCATTTGTCTGCTTAATCCCAGTTCTTTCCAATTTCTGTCTCCATTGTCATTGTATGTTGGTGATTAACATTTACATGAAATATGTGTGTGCTTGCCTGAAAAGTCAATGTATATGCAGAAGCCAGCATTAAATCTCTGCTTTTTGATTATGTAATCTTGTCTACTATGATCATATCATCTATTCAATCATATATTCATTTTTACCCTTATTGCACACTTAATAAGTAAAAACAAGTCACAGTCATGGTAGCACAGTGTTAATCCCTGCTTCTGCATATATATTATTCCCTGCTTCTGCAAACATATATCTGTGTATGTGTTTGTTTTTCAGAGGTATTATTTAGTTCACCCGAACTGAAAGTGTCTGCCTTCTATGGTGAGAAAAACGAGGCCTCCTTCTTCTGCTCTGCCGAAAATTTTTCACCAAAAGATTACCAGATCAAATGGATGAAAAATGGAGACGATTTCACTGACATAATCTCTGAAATCACAACATCCACTGAGGAACATAAAAGCGAGAATGGTACACTGTACAGTGCAACAAGTATTCTCAGAGTGCATACCAGTGACTTGCCTGAATCGGCTAAGATTAAATGCCAGTTCAAGGGGAAAGACGCCAGTGGTGTCAAACTCACTGAAGCCTTTGTGACCTACAAGCCCATAACATGCAGTGAGTATATATCTGTTTTCTGTCCATTTATTTTCAATGTCCATGGTTTTATACTGATGTCCCTTTAATAATTTCACACTCAGCAAAAGGATGTATGGAAGCAGACGTGGACGTATATATCGAAGGCCCCACAGAGCAGGACATGTTAGTAGACAAAACAGGAACCATAAAATGCCATGTTAAGGTGAAGAACCCAACTGTTATGAAGATTTATTGGGAAAACCATGATGGAGAGGAAATACCTGATGCCACTTTGAAACCTAATGGGAGAGGAGATTCATACATCGTTCCTGTTGACATCACATATGATGAATGGAGCCAGGGGATAAAGCTCAACTGTGTTGTGGAACACAGCGATTGGTTTGAGCTATTAAGGACACCCTATGAAAGGAGTACAGGTAAGACTATTCAATAACTGTGCATGTCATTGTGAGACTTTACGAGTATTATTTCCAAGTTCACTTTTAAACAGACATTTCTTGCAGAACTGTAGGAACTTCTTTGTTTGTCATGAGGCCTAATTGTGCTCTCGTGCTTCCAGGAGTGCAGACTCAGCGTCCGTCAGTGTTTATGATGCCACCAGTAGAACACGTTAAAAAAGACACAGTGACTCTGACTTGCTATGTGAAAGACTTCTCCCCTCCAGAGGTTTTCGTTTCTTGGCTTGTTGATGATGAATACCCTTCAGGATACAAGTTCAATACCACAAACCCTATTGAAAGCAATGGATCCTACTCGGCTTATGGCCAGTTATCACTCAGCCTCGAGCAGTGGAAAAAAGAGGGTGTGATGTACAGCTGCGTTGTTTACCACCAATCTGTGGTTAACAATACAAAAGCCATTGTGAGATCCATTGGCCACAAAACTTCTGAAACAACCAACCTGGTCAACCTCAACTTGAACATACCATGCAAGGCCCAGTAGATGCTATTTTATGTCTTCTGCTGTTTGTTAATGTTTGTTGCTTTTGATATGACATTGTGTTTGTCTTTTTAATGCAGATTCAAAATCAAAATAAAAAAAAAAGCACTTTGCAACTCTGTTGTTGTTTGTTGCATGTAGCTCATGTCTTGTCTAACCAATATTTGGAGATACATGTTTAGTGTAGTCAATGTTGTCAAAATGCCACACAAATAAGGCATTATTATTCATAATTAAATAAGAGTCACAATAAAATAAGCCTTCAAGCTCAATTTTATTCACCAAAAAAAAATGCAATCCCCATACCTCACTAACTTTAGGCGTTTAGGATGTTGTATGTAGATGGTGCATGAACACATTTTATGTCTTGATGTACGTGTGTTTCCTCTACTGGGTCTTGCACCCCCAACACAAGATAGATGACTGTTTCAGGACAAACTGCAGCTCTGTGGTCTCTCAGACAAATTATTAATATTTTCACAAGCTGATGAATCATGCCACACCAATCATGGGGTCTTTCAAAAGCAAATCAGCATCACAGTAGGAAAACTTTAATTAACATCAAAACTTAACAAAAGGGCATGTAAAACTATTACATACCCTATTAGCCAACAGGCTTAATATGCTAATAAGTCATAGGTCATAAGCAAGACGTTTTTTTATTTTACACTTGTCGGCTGTGGCTCAGGAGATAGAGCGGCTCGTCCACTAACCAGAAGGTTGGTGGTTCGATCCCCATGTTCCGCATGTCAAAGTGTCCTTGGGCAAGATACTGAATCCCAAATTGCCCCTGACAGCTGTGCTTGGTATTAATGAGTGAATGGCAAATAACTGCACTATAGGAAATTAAAAATAATCTATTGGTCACTACCTGGTGAGATTTTGTTCAATGGTGGGTGGGAAGTTTCCTTGATATTTATTGAATAATTATTGTACATTATATCCAGATATCCTGATTGAATGGGACAGTACCATGAAGGCAGACGTTGATAGCATGGGAAACACTGCCATCACCTTCATCATTCTCTTCCTCACCTCCATTCTGTTCATGATTGGAACCACTGCTTTCAAGGTAACAATGAGTTTAAGTTGAACTTGGCACTGATTTGGATTATCATGTTGCACAAGATAAAATGCTTTATTCACCACTTAATTTTCCACAACTTGTAACACCAATAACAGTAAGCCTGAGTCTCTTAATGCATTGAAACACAATAAAATTAAGAAAAAAGCTGACTAAGGTCAGCCGAGTATATTTTATCATCTCTGTGGTATAATAGAATTACATCTCATCAAAACATTTTGACTTCGAAAATCATTTATTCAAATTCCAAGAAAGTTGTGGTGAATTGA